TCCCCTGCTTCAAAAAGAATAATTTTTTAAAACTATTCTTCCTTATCTTTTAAAAAACTCATGCCCCAAATTAAGCCACAGAATTTTAAAATTTTAGGAGAGCCAGTGCTTTTCCATACCAAGCTGTTCTCTAAAAACTAAAGCTATCTTGCTATCAAATTTTGGAAGCAAAGTTCCAGAAGTACGATATTCATTTTACCCTTTTACCCTTCTACTACATACACACAAATGTAAAGTCTCTTTTAAAGTAAAACATTTCATTCTCACATAAGATTGCTTTTTCTATAGTTTAGAAACTATAAACTATAGAAAACTATAGTTGGGTTTTTTGTTTTGTTGTTTCTATTTTTCAAAACTTCTGTGAAAGAAACAGCTGATAAAATGCTGAAATCCACAAAACTACTAAATTCTTTAATTTCCTAAGGAAGAAAGAATATGAAATGAAAGGGTGCACATCATCCACAGTGAAACTTGACAAGGGAATGTGGCACTATCAAAAACTAAACAGACTTGTTACAAGCTAGGGAATAAAATAGCTCTGTCGTGAAAAGTGTACCTACATGGAAGTTTAGAAATGTGAAGGTGAAAGCATCCTATAGAACATTTAGGTGAAGATAAAGCAAAGAAGAAGAGAAGTGATTTTCTTACACTGGTATAGTCATCGATTCATGTCCAGAACTGGCAAGAACCAAGACAGTGTAAAGATAAGAGACCATGTGAGATCATTCAGCTAAAATCACAATGTTTGACAAGTTCTTACCACCTGCGTGAACTGCTCCTTCAGACTAATTTTTGCCTCAAAGAATCAATTAGTAAAGTAAAAGTGATTGGAATGCTGGGAGAAAAAACAGTCAAGAAAAGGCAACGTGAAAAACACTATGTACTCTAGACTTTGTAAGAAAGCAGATTTCAAAAAGAAAGCAGAGGATAAAAATACCAGCAGAAATCCATCTTATGTACATCTTTTAACATTTAATTCAGTTTCCTGTACACTCATACTAGTTTTTTATGTACCACACTTCTCTCCTGCAAGGAATCCACTGGTAATTCTACCTAGTGTATTTCTGAAAGCTTCCCCAAACTCCACCTTTGTGCCATTACAAGTGTCTTAAAAATCACCCTAAAATTTCTTGTAGCATTCTACATATCATAATATTTTCTAGTCCAAACATGCTTTGTTTCAACTCTTACTCTGATAAAATACCTCATATCATTAAACGCAATTACTCCTTTCCCAAGCCCAATGCTATATATTTCATTCACTTTCTTATCAACTTTCAAGGAAAAAAAAGACTATTCCAAAGATTTCAAATCTTCTTTCAGAAATTAAATCTACTCTTACCAAGATTTTCTGAAGCTACGAAAATAATTATATCATTTTCTACCTAACAAATTGTTCAATAAGAAAGCCAAGCAGGGCGCCTGGGTGGCTCAGTCGGTTAAGCGTCTGCCTTCAGCTCAGGTCCTGATCCCAGGGTCCTGGGATCAGAGCCCTGCAGTGAGGCTCCCTGCTCAGTGGGGAGTCTGCTTCTCTCTCTGCCCCTCCCCCTGCTCGTGCTTTCTCTTACTCTCTCTCGCAAATAAATAAAATCTTAAAAAAAAAAGAAAAGAGAGCCAAGCTGTATTCAAAGATGTGTGAGGGTACAGAGAAAAGAACCCTCAGGCTGAAGTACAGATTAATACAGAATAATCTTTTTGGAAAGCAATCTGGCAACAAATACTGGCCTCAATATTTATGCTTTCACACCTATTAATTCCACTTCTAGGAATCTATCCTTAAGAAAATAAGTCAGATGGAAACAAAGAATTTGTATGGAAGGTATGTTCATCAAAATGTGATAATATTGTAACAAAATTATAGCAAAAACAAAAGAAAAAAACCTGAAGACATGAACAGACACTTCTCTGAAGAAGACATACAAATGGCTAACAGACACCTGAAAAAATGTTCATCATCATTAGCCATCAGGGAAATTAAAATCAAAACCACACTGAGATACCACCTTACACCAGAGTTAGAATGGCACAAATTGAGAGGGCAAGAAACAACAAATGTTGTAGAGGTTGTGGAGAAAGGGGAACCCTCTTACACTGTTGGTGGGAATGCAAGTTGGGACAGCCACCTTGGAAAACAGTGTGGAGGGCCTCAAAAAATTAAATATAGAGCTACCCTATGACCCAGCAATTGCACTCCTGGGTATTTACCCCAAAGACACAGATGTAGTGACAAGAAGGGCCATATGCACCCCAATGTTCATAGCAGCAATGTCCACAATAGCCAAACTTTGGAAAGAGTCGAGATGCCCTTCAACAGATGAATGGATAAAGAAGATATGGTCCATATATACAATGGAATATTACTCAGCCATCAGAAAGGATGAGAAACCCAACTTTCACATCAACATGGATGGGACTGGAGGAGATTATGCTAAGTGAAGTAAGTCAAGCAGAGAAAGTCAATTATCATATGGTTTTACTTATTTGTGGAACATAAGGAATAGCATGGAGGACATTAGGAGAAGGAAGAGAAAAATGAAGCAGAGAGGAATCGGAGGGAGAGATGAACCATGAGAGACTATGGACTCTGAGAAACAAACTGAGGGTTTTAGAGGGGAGGGGGGTGGGGCGATGGGTTAGCCCGGTGTTGGGTATTAAGGAGGGCACGTACTGCATGGAGCACTGGGTGTTATACGAAAACAGTGGATCATGGATCACCACATCAAAAACTAAGGATGTATTGTATGGTGATTAACATAATAAAAGAAAAGAAAAAAACCTGGCATCCAGAGGTATACTTGGCATTATAGCTTTTAAATATTTTGTTAAAGCATAATAATAATAAATAATGTGATGTGCTAAGGGAAAAGCATATATCATATGCAGACATTAAAATACACACTAAAATGTCATTTGTCTCTGCCTGTGGAATTATGGTGATATTAGTTTTTCTTTTTTTTTTTTTTTTAAAGATTTTATTTATTTGACAGAGAGAGATCACAAGAAGGCAGACAGGCAGGCAGAGGGAGGGAGAAGCAGGCGCCCCACTGAGGAGGGAGCCTGATGCGGGATGTGGGGTTCGATCCCAGGATGCTGGGATCATGACCAGAGCCGAACGCAGACGTTTAACCGACTGAGCCAGCCAGGTGCCCCAGTCTGTTTTCTTAAAATAGTTTTTAGTATCTTCTTAAAAAAGCAAATATATTATTTGCATAATCAGAAAAGTAAAATTTTTTTTTCAAAAAAATTTTTTTTAAAGATTTTATTTATTTATTCATGACAGAGAGAGAGAGAGAGGCAGAGGGAGAAGCAGGCTCCCAAGGAGCAGGGAGCCCGATGCGGGACTCGATCCCAGGACCCTGAATCATGACCTGAGCCGAAGGCAGAAGCTTAACCATCTGAGCCACCCAGGCGCCCTATTTGTATATTTTTTTAAGATTTTATTTATTTGTCAGAGAGAGAGCGAGCACAAGCACGGGGAGCAGCAGGCAGAGGGAGGAGCCCAATGTGGGACTTGATCCCAGGACCCTGAGATCATGGCCTGAGCCAAAGCCAGACGCTTAACTGACTGAGCCACCCAGGCGTCCCAAAATATTTAAAATTATATCTAAATTGAGACTTTGTTGTTCTCTCACAAATGAATTCCTGTATCTGCCCTTAACCACCAACATAAAATAGCATCTCTTCCATCCCAAATACTTTAGGCACCTCTGCCAATCTCCCGTTTATCACTTTTCTCTGGTCTACCTGCCTTTGACTCATCTTCAGATGTTTTCTGATTATCTAACACAATTCTGATTCTTTCAGTACACATTATCCTTCCTCCCCCAACCACCACCACATGAACGTCACCTTTCAAGGAGACAAAAAAAGAACAAATCCCTACTTAGGGTTGCAAAGTTTTGACAATAAGCCACTTCTTCCATCATTAACTACATCACTGCATTACTGTCATTATTCCTAAAGAGGAAATATCTTCATCCTTTTACACCGCTATTATTTTGATGATATACCAGAGGTCATGTTCCTCAATTATGCCCTATTTTCACTTTTTTTTTCTGTATTCAGTTTTTTTATGCCATTGTTTATCTACTTTAACAAAGATGTTCATCTAATCCAATTTATACCTACCAGCTGAAAGACCCAAAAGTTCGGGTGGCAACGAAACTGGAGATGAACCAATTGCCAGATATCAGATTATTTTAACAGCATGGAAACTGGCTATTTTCCAACTGTAGGGCTCCAAGGGTCATCGGAGAAGCATGGAATTTAAACATGCATTTTTTTCCTGAGACCTTCTGTCCCCATAACCTACTCTGACTATAAAAACAATCAGTTATTAATACAGGAGCCTGAGATGCATAAACTTCATAGTTTGTCCATCCTTGGTGTTATGTATTTAATCAGCAGCAGTAACAGTGTAAGATACAATATCTTGGCATTTACTATAGACCACCTTTAGTAAATTAAAAACAAATATATAAACACAAGTCATTTTTCTCATCTACTGATTCTACCAAACTATTAAAGTAGGTGAAGGAGCAGAGATAAAGGCAGATTTGAGACTGTCCATAAGTTTTACCTGACGGGGAGAGGAGGAGGAAGGCGCACCTAGAAATTAAATTCAATCAGGTATTAGATGATTTTGCCTAACTGCTCCCTCACTCCATGGGCTATTAGAGAACAGGGACTGTCTTTTTGTTTTTTGTTGTATTTCTCAGAAACAAGTAAAGCATAGATATTCAACAAGCATTTATGAGTGAATGATTCTTAGGGTATACCTGTCTGGTGCAAGTATAAATTTTATGGAATATGTTTTCTGCAAAAATCCTAACCTGAACTGGATCTTATGGAATAAAATCCATGAAAATATTTTCAATGCATGATAAATATTCTAAAAATCTAAGAAACAACCTATTCCTTAAATTCCAACTAAAGAGAGCATTCCTGCATTTGGTCATCTGACTGCTTCCAAGTTCCCAGTGCTGAGTTCTTTCAGTCAACAATTACTCAGAGCCACAAGGCACTTGATCAGTGGACAGATGACTGTAAGTGAAGTAAGACTGGAAATATTCAATTTCTTAACTGCCAAAGACAAGGTAAGAAATAGGTCTCCTATTAATGTACCATAACTTGCTTACTGACAGCTTTTCTTTTGGTGAACTGAAAAAGAAGTATGGAAAAAAAAATCTGTTAGCTGAAGGTGTGTTCTGATGACATAGTCTTTGTCAGAGTAGTCATTCATGATGATAGAAATACAGGAAATAGAGAAGTGAATTCCAGGATGTCTGATGAAAGTTCCAGTTTAAAAGTATCACATCCGGGCGCCTGGGTGGCTCAGTTGTTAAGCGGCTGCCTTCGGCTCAGGTCATGATCCCAGGGTCCTGGGATCGAGTCCCACATCGGGCTCCCTACTCAGCGGGAAGCCTGCTTCTCCCTCTCCCACTCCCCCTGCTTGTGTTCCCCCTCTCGCCGTGTCTCTCTCTGTCAAATAAATAAAATCTTAAAAAATAAATAAATAAAAGTATCACATCCCCAGTTCAAATGTATAAGAAGTGCTGGAGAACACAAAATATGTGTAAGGAGATTTCTGACAAGAAGTTTTCCTTGAAATATGTCATTATAAGTTTTTTTTAAACAAAAGCATGAACATATAGTTAAATCTCCTTTTTGGTAATTTGAATATACCAAGTATATTTTTGCCATTAGGCCTCCAGGCTGTTCCCTGCCTTAAATGCCTTCATCACCCCCAAATCCACTCCTGCTTATAGTCCAGATTACATTTTACCTCTTCAGGGAAGGTTTCTTTGCCAACCTAGGCAGCCATTCACTCACTCTATGATAGCACCATGTTTTAATTGTCTGCATAATCACATCACTATCTGATATTTTTCTTATTTTTGCTTGCTCACTCCACTAAAAAGAAAGTTCTGTAAGAACAAGACCTCCACTGGCTTTTCCATCATTTTATCAATATCATTTTATCAATAATATAAGCATAAACTAAGTGCTCAAATATCTGTGCTATATTTAACAAAGTAACTTTCCTTAATTATATATATTCAGATGGAAGTATAATGTGAAAAAAAATTTTTTTTTAAAGATAAATCTTAAAGGTTATATATGGCTTTCAAATATGATTTGTATGTATAGGGGACTACATATAAGTGAATGATGACTAGTGAAGGTGCCACATTTTGAAGTTACTTATAAAGGCACTTAAAAAGTGTCTGGCCTTCCTGTAGTACTTCCTACTCCATAAGTGTTTTAGTGTTACTATCGCCTCTCAACACAAATGAAAAACAAAAGTCTAAACAGATATGCCACATTATAAATTCTACAAGCATGGACAAAGTTTTGTCTTGTAGTCCCTATAATGCCTAAGACACATATCAGCAAAATAAATACTAGCCAGTTGGCTTTTTCTTATAGGGTAGAAAAAGTAAAGGCAATTTGTGTAATATGGAACTTGACTGAAAACTAACTTACCAGAATAAAACCTGAAAATTAAAAAGTACTGATTTAAACTTGTTTTAGATGAGGCCTCCTATGGGTCAGATCAAATGACCCACTGAATTAAGAATACTTTCTGACCTTGGTACAAAGGTGCAGTTTATAGAAGAGGCATTAGTTTTCCTTGAAATATTTCATTATCAATTGAAGACTATTCCAGTAGTCTTCAACATTTAGTCATGTACCTCAAACACTCTGGTCTTCCATAAATTATCATGGTGTAGCACTAATACACTTACATTTAAAAAATAGAGATTCAAGTTGTTTACCTGATTTCACTTGTCCAAAATTATCTTTCAAGCTACAAGCCCTAACATTCTGGAATTTGGTAAGGAACTCTCTAGTTCCATGAAGACAACCTTCAGGATTTTAGAAACGATTGTTATCCCTTTTAGTTTGTGCCTTTCCACAGTTAACTTTCTTAGACTGCACTGTCCAAAGGACCAAGTCAACATTAACAATTTTGACTGTCAGGTCATTTGGTGCCAAGCCTAAGTATTTCAGGTACATACCTATTTCCACAGCTCATTGAACAAACTGCCAACTAAAACAGGATTATCAAGATATTAAAAGGTATAGTTTAAAGATCTTGCCAAAGCAATTAATCCACAGTTAGCCATTATCCACAAATCAGCCATTACCATCTGATAGTGAAGAACCAGTGCTACAGAACTATAAAGTCTTTACAAAGTTGCCCAAGGGGACCTAGGTAAACTTTTGATATGCTCTATGCAGGGAATGTTTATTCTTCCGTGTGTGTGTGTGTGTGTGTGTGTGTGTGTGTTAAGGCATTAAAAGGAGGGAGGGGCCACTATATAAGAATACACTTACTAGAACTGAAGAATGCACTACAAATTCTCAGAGAGAACCAGTTAACATCTGTTGTATGTATTTCCTCATGATGACCTAATTTTTTAAACTGACAAGTCAGTGTAGTTTAAATGATGGTACAGGCTCTAACCAAGGTTAAAATTAGTATGGTTTAGAGAAAGTGACTCTAACTTGGCTAATGAGTTCCTTCCCCCTTCCAATCTTTTAAAAAAATCACACTTTGCTCTAACATCACAGGCTCTAGAGTATCAGACAACCTGGGTCTGAAGGCAGACTCTGCCACACCTTGGGTGTGCAACTTCACCTCAGTAAATCTTAATGCCCTCATCTGTAAAATATGCGTAAGAATATTTACTGCCAGGTGGGGTTGCCATGAGGACACTCATTGTAAAGTGCTCAGCACCTTGACTGGATGTAATAAGCACTCAAATGTTAGTTATCATTACCAGCATCATCAGATTCCAACGGTCTGTCCTTAAACTAATTGTTTAGTGGGAGACACATCTAATACTGTTTCCTCATTAGTTATGTTCCACTAATCCTGCTCTAAGCCACATTCTCCCCCTTGCATGTCTGCTTAACTCATCACAGTTCACAAAAGCTTTACTATCCTACTAACCTAGAAAAAGGATATTTTTACTACACAGTATGACTTTAGTCTTGGCAATAACCCACCAGGAAAGCACAACTGAAGTTCAATCTAACCTTTCTTTACAGAAGTACCAGTAGTACATACACTTATTTCTAAAGACATTTCTAAAGATTCATGAGCATTCACTTAGAATTAACTGATATTTTAGAGAAAATGAAAATTTAATTATTTTTAATTTTTTTTTAAAGATTTGTTTGAGAGAGAAAGTGCATGTGAGTGGGAGAGAATCCCAAGCAACTCCCCACTGAGTGAGAGCTGGGGCTCGGGGGCTCAGGGACTCAGGGCTCAATCTCGGGACCCTGAGATCATGACCTGAGCCAAATCAAGAATCGGATGCTTAACCAAATGAGCCACGCAGGCACCCCAAAAAGTTTAATTATTTAAAGAAAATGGTTCCTGTATTTTAAATATTTTGTTACATTAACAAGTCCAGTCCCTGAGACTGAATAGTCTAGAATTCACTTGATAGTTTATTTTTCAAAATCAAATAGCTATGTCCATAAAAATCCCAAGAAACTGTAAAGCCAACTCTCTGCCTAAGTACCTTATCATCTAATAGAGTGTCTCTCATTTGAAGATCCCCGAAAGATTCTTTTACCTTTTAAAAAGGTTTGTAACTCAAACTAAAGTATGAGAAACACTGCTCTAATTGGAAGAGGTCATAGAAACTCCAATGTCACGCGGGTGATTTTGAACAGGTACTATCAGGACCCTTTCCATCACACCATAAATACCCTAAAAGACTCTATGGCAATATTTGTGTGTAGTGCCTTATTATACGTAATTATCCTTTTATGCTACAGCAGTCAGATCATGAAAAGTTCTGAACATGAAACAAAGTTTCATCCTTTGTTGAGGTGGGGGGATGTAAGAAGGCAAGGATTCTTTCCAAATGAGGTATGTGTGTGAGAAGGAGAAGCTGAAAGGGGACATACAAAAGTATGGAAGTGGGAACGTTCAAGGAGTGTCTGGGGACTGGACAGCAAGTGTTTAAGAACGTGGCCAGTTATGAGGAAGGAAAGGTGACTGAAGACTTCAGCTGCAATACCAAGAGGTTGAACCTTATTGTACTGCTGAAGATTGGGGGGCGGGGGTGTTTTTTAAATAAAATGATGTGAGGGAAGAAATGCTTAAAAAGATTTATCAGGGTGCAAGGTTCAGATGGACTAGAGGGTGGAGAGTGATAGGAACAATACCGGTTATTACAAAAGTCCCTGATAAGGTAAGAACCTGAACTGCGATGAAGTGGTTATAAACACCCCTTTCTTGGGGGCGTGTCCAAAAAAAATCATAAGCCACCTTTTGTTGAAAGTGAACTTACTGCTTTCAAAATCTTGTTTTGACATCTGAATCCTATTTAACCAGGGTTTATGATCTCAGGTTATTCACGCCCAGTGACCAAAACAAATATACCGATTTTCTTGGGCAAAGAATTATTTGGCTTACTTTCAGTTTTCTGGGCTGGTAACCAGCTAACCAGTTCTCCACACACAAAGAGCTGTAAGTCAAAATCCCTCAGCCCAGAGTCGCTAGCGTCCCCGCGGACCGGCACCGTTTGCTCACACGCCTCGGGGCGGCCCCTGGAGCTGTGGGGACTCCGGGCCCTGACAAAGAAAGCAGAGCCTGACCCTTTGGGGAATATCCTATTTCGAGCCTGAGGTCCTGAAAGAATCTGCAGTGAGAGCTCTCGGTCGAGCAGGCTGTTCCAGCGGGAGGGCCGGGGGAGGCGGCCCAGCCTCACGGCCCGGAGACCCTGGCGCGGAGCCAGCCGGCCGAGGACTCAAGCTCCAGCGCGGAGGCCGCCGGGGGCTTCCCTTCACCGCCCTCCATCCCAGCCCGAGAGGGACCTCGCGAACAGGCCTCCGCCGCAGGGCCCCGTCGCCGCCGAGCTCGTCACCGCCGCCCCCACAGCGCCGGGCACATCGAGCGCCTCAGTCGAGGCCTCCCCTGGGCCGCGCCGCCGGCCCCTCGCCCTCCCCCGCCCGTCGGCCCCGCTCACCCAGAAGATGAGGTTGAGAAACACCAGCACGGTCTTGGAGGAGGTGATGCCGCATTGACCCATGGTGCCGGCGGCCCGCTGGGGCCCTGCTCGGCGAGCGGGAT